AGAATCGGTACCTTTGCTCTTTGGCTGAGCAAGGCAGCTTGGGGGAAATTCATCCCAGAAAGACTGCAAAAGATGGGATGTCATGATGTTTCCTCCCATGGCTCGTGATGTCTTTTTTTGTTTCCGCTGAAACTGGGCAGCACAGAGCTGGCGGAGCTGCCTAGCAGCCTCAGGAAGCTTTATTTGATGTTTCAATCGGGCATTAAAGGGGAGGGAGAAGCAGAGGGAAAATACTCCCTGACCATTTAACAAGATTACACGATGAGACGGAGCCTAGAAACATGCATGGCCGACCCCGGCGCCCCATGTCCCGGCTCGGGTCCGGCTTTGCCTTGAATCTCCATAGCCGGCAGGTTGGCCTCCCCGGTGCCCCAGCCTGTCCTCAGCACACGGTAATCCCATTTAGCGACCACCCCCCCACCCACCCCCCCGCCGAAAAGAGAGCACGAGGGGGCAATCAGCCAAGAAGAATGGGGCTGCCAGCTTGGGGAAGGGATGCAAAAGGCGCCTGGGAAAGCGGCTGGGTCATGGGGATTGTGGGGCTGGAGGGGTCCTGCTGCTCCAGCATCCAAACACCCCATCCTGCAAACTTCTACAACCCTGAGTAAATGTGACTCATGCAAACAAACGTCCGTCACCATGTGCTCTGCAGGAATAATCCTGGCAGGGAGGACAGCAGGGAGGGGCACAAGGAGGACCTGTACGCTACAGCCCCACTGTTATCCCTTCTCCTGGCTCTCCATCCATCTCCCACCCCATTTACCCAGCCACCCATTTGCACCTATTTGCCAGTGCCTTGTGTTCATCCCCAATCATCCATCCATCCACCCACCCACCCACATGCAGACCAGGCTGTTCCTCTGGGCAAATAGTCCACCCTAATACATCTGCCCACCCATCTCTCAACCTACCTACTGCTGCCTACAAGCTGCCTACTTATCTACAGAGGGGAGATTTGCTGGGGAGGGCTCAGCACTGCATCTTTAGCAGATAACCTTTATCCTCTTAATAAGGCTGCTTAATTCTCACTTCCTTATAATTATCTGCTACTGAATGCCACCTCATTTTTTTACAGGCAGGTGAAAAAAAGAGCGTCTTTAAGCAAGCAATGTGATACGTAGGATTGGGAAGGGACTAACGGGGTTTTTGGGATTCATGTAGGGTCTAGGTATGGACATGCAGCCAAAATGCTTTTATTCTGCACAGGCTTTCCTGGTGGATGAGAGGAGCCAAGGCTCTGTCTCAGGTGGGTTGATCGAGCCCAGGACCTTGCCAAGCTCTGACAGCATCTCCCTCCATTATTTTCCAAGGTACCAAATCACTGTGCCCAGGCTTGATCCCAATCCATGTGTCCCAGTCGAGCTGCCAGGGCTGAGCTGCAAGACCAGACCTGCTCCCTGGACTGGGGAGGGAGATGTCTCAGAGGGGGGAACAAAACTGCATTTCCACCGCCTTTCCAGGATGTCAGAGCTGGCAGAGGCTTGGCAAGGCATAAAATGACACAGCTGAATCCAACTTTTCTGAAAACCATCAACTCCATTCTATTGTTAGGGTCAGACCTGGGCTTTGGCTCTTCTCATCCCCACTGGAGCAGTAATTGGCTGCTTTGTCCTGCAGATATAGTCCCTTCCCCACCCTACGGAACTTGCAAACAGGTTAATCGCTGAGTAAGAGGAAGAAAGGGGATGGCCTTCCCCAGTACCCCGCTGTCTCCTGGCAGGTAGGAAAGGGGACACAGACATCCTGAGCCTCGTGCACCCCCAGGGACAGGCCACCCCCTCAAGGATCATCACCCACCATGACCCACCTGGTCAAAGCCCAAAGTGCCAGAGGGATGGGCATGCTGTCATTCATCTCATATAAAACCCACTTTCTGAAAAACTCAATCAAGCCCAGCATTTTTAATAAAAGTCATTTCCCTGGTCAGACACTGCCCGCAGAGAGGTGTGAACTGGGCATACCCTGCAGGAGAATCCCCTGGAGCGGGGACAGGTTGTCCCCTGCTGCCTGCCCCAGAGGAGCCTGGCACCGCCGAAAGGCCCCATCCTGCCTAAGGCTGACGGCTGCCAGCTCCCGGGGGATTAAAGGTGTCCTGAGAACAACTTAACTCTTGCAATCAGCTTGGCCCCCGGCTGGGCGATATTAAAACGTCCCCCGTAAGCCCTGTTGTCTCAGGGATGATTGCAATAAACCCACCGGCAGGCGAGATTAGTGGGTTAAACCCGCCGGCACAGCCTGGGCTCTCGGCAGACATGTGAAGACATTAGCACAGTTTGGGCTCTTTGAGACTCGCCGGCTAATCCCAGCTCTGAAAACAGCCGGAACAAAGGGCAGCTTCCGTCACATCATCATTCTCCTGGCACCATCCCCTTCTCCTTGAATCGTGCCCCTCTCCTGGCATCATTCCCCCTCTCCTTGCACTGTCCGCCCTCTCCACCCACCATCCCCTTCTGGTGTCACTGCCTCTCCTGGCACCATCTCCTTCTTTCATTGTTCCCCTCTCCTTGCACCATCCCCTTCTTAATTGCCCCCCCTCTCCTTGCATTTTCCTGGTTCTCTTTGCCTTATCCCCTCTCCCCCTCTCCTTGCATCAAGTTTCACACCTGCTCAAGTAAACCCTCCACCTTGGTCCCATCTTCCCCCAGACCCAAACCCCGGGCCAGTCACCAAGAAAATAAGGTTGGCCAGAGCCTGTGCTGCCCAGGTGAGCACCCAGATGTCCTCATTGCTGCTGTTATCTAGGAGGTCCAGGGCCCTTGGTGCTTGCTTGCTTTGCATCCTTGCAAGGAACTCCCCAGCTCCCCACAGAGTCCACCCTTGGGTCATCCCCAGGCCAGTGTCCATCACACCTGCTGGATTTGAAACCTCTACATCTGCCTAAGCAGGGCCAAGCAGTTAAAATTAAAACCTGGCTAATCCTGGCCCAGCTGAGATGGCACCCCAGGTGCCCAGCTCACAAAGCCACCACCAGCTCTGGCCTCTGGGCGTTTTCTCTACTTTCCCGGCTCCAAAAGCCTGGGAGAGCAGGATGCCATCACTGGGTTGGAATGTGTGAGCTGTGTGCAGAGCAGTGTGTTATGGTGAAGATGCTGCTGGCAGGAAGGGAAGATGGAGATGTATGGACAATAAGATGGAGGTATTCTACAACAACCTGGGCTCTGTGAAGGTCCTGAGCTATTTTAGAGCACAAGGAAGTATCTGAGCACCCAGTGCCTTTGGGATGAGCCAGGCTATGGGGATGATTGTAGGTGGAGTGTGCAGGTGGCCCCTACATCCCACAGTCCTCCAGGGCTTGCTCCCATGAACAAACCCCCATTGAACCCTTGCTGCCACTATAGGTGTGTGTTCCTCCTCCTCCTGCAAAGATGAGCCCAAGAGTTGCATAAATAATTTATTTTCGCTCTGCAAAAATAATTGATGCCCTGTATATATTAGATACACTTATTGCCAGCTATGATACATTCATATAATACACATGGAAAAGCAGCCCGAAGGGGTGATTCAGCAGCTCTTTGCCACAGTCTGTGCAGGTGCTGTCCCTGAGTCTGGGGAGGAGGCTATGCTCTCCTGGCCATCCCCTGGCTCCGCTGGGAAGTCCTTGTCCTCCTCGCCATGGTGGCTCTGCGAGTCGGGGCTCCTCTGTGGGGTGGCCAAACCCATTTTGGCCAGTTTGGCTTGTTGCTGTTCCAGGCTTTGTTTCCTCCACTTGATCCTCCGGTTTTGGAACCAGACTTTCACCTTAGGAAGAGGTAAAGCTTGGCTTTCAAACCTGGTTTCTCCATGGACCATGGGGGGTCATGGTCTGCTAAACCCCTGTGGCTCAGGCAGTGCCATGACACTGCACAAACCCTTAGGTGCCCACAGCCTCAAACATCCCCTGGCTGGCCAGGACAGAGGTCCCCTGCCACACTCAGTCCCTAGCAAGATGGAAAACTGTCCCCTGCAACACAGGAGCTGAGCCTGCATTGATGAGCTGGGACCTGCCAGTGGTGGAGTTAGGTCTACCCTTCAGATGGACATAAGTTCAACCCCTCCACATGGCCCTAGGACAGCACTTTGCGACTCAGTTTCCCCACCTGTCATCCTCCACCCTTTCCATGTAAACCATCTGCAATTACTACCCCACACAGCTCCTCCCCGAGGCTGAGGGACATGGCCCAGGTCCCACCTATTGGTACACAGGTTTGGGAGCCTCCCTGGACCTGCTGGTGGGGGCTGGTGGAGATGGAGCATGGTGGGGCTTACCTGCTCTTCAGTGAGGTGCAGGGAGGAGGCAAGCAGACACCTCTCCGTGCCCACCATATACTGCTGTCGTGCAAACTCCTTCTCCAGCCGGGCCAGCTGGTCACTGGTGAAGATGGTTCGGACTCGCTTGGCTTTAGCAGTCTTGGCTTTGAGAATGGGGAAGCAGCACTTGGAGATCAGAAAGCCTGGAGGGGAGAGAAAGAGGGGAGGTCAGGGTGGAGAAGAGCCCCTGGAGGGGTCTCCTTTAGAGTGGGGTCCCTCCTTGGAAGGTCCTTTCTTGGAGAGGCAGAAAAGATCTTCCAGTTTGGAGGTGTCCCCCTTGGAGACGCAGACAGGGTCTCTTTGGAGGGGGTCCCCTATTTGAAGAGGTGGGAGAGGGTCCTCCATTTAGAGAGGATCTCCCTGGAGAGGTAAATACACGTCCTTCGTGTAGTGAATCCCTTTGGAGGGGGTCCCCATGAAGAGATAGAAGGAGCTCCGCCATTTGGAGGTGACCCCTGAGAGGGGCCAGAGGGTTCCATTTGGAGGGGCAGAAGAGGATCCTTGTTGGAGATATCCACTTGGGAGGAAGCAGAGGAGGTCCCCCATTTGGAGACATCTGAACAGGACAGGTGGACGGGGGTTGTCCCCCTACAAAAGGTCCCCCCCTTGGAAAGGTGGCCAAGGGCCACCCTTAGAGAGATGAAAGGCAGTCCCCATTTGGAGACATCGCCATGGGAGAGGTGGACAGCCCCCCCCCTAGAAGAGGTCCCCTCGAGCAGGTTTACCCATCTGGAGAGAGGTTCCCCGTTTGGAGATGTTCCCATGGGAGAGGTGGATGTGGGTCCCCCTGGAAGAGGTCTCCTTGAGAGGAATCCCACCCTTGGGGAGAGAGAAGGAGGTCCCCATTTGGGGGGGGTCCCACGGGAGAGGCGGAGGGGGGTCCCGGTGCGGGGTGTCTCGGGGGTTG